AATATGCCCACTGACATCGAGTAGGGGGTTGGTGGAGCAAAGGGGAGACGCCCATTAATTAGTTCTCTATATACAAAAATATGAGACACCTAATCAACACGAATTATATAAAATTTTGAAAGAAACCATAAAATAAATTTCATTGTTTACAGAGCCATTATGGGTGGTTCAATGATTTGTTGCATATCAAACGCTCACTAAGAGTTGGCAAATGAAGTCGAGGCCCAGCTCTAACTTCTAAGTACAAAAAGTTTGCTTTCATTGAAAAATGAAAAATCGAATTGGGTACATTCATTCTTTAACAAAATTTTAAAACGAAGGTTTTTAATTGTCGATGGATCAGTAATAAGTAACTATTTTTCATTTAGACCATAACATTGTGATACATTTTGTACAACGCAATATCATTATTTACCGTCTAGCCATTGGTACTCCACATCTTCATAAGGAATTCAAGTTCACGAGGTCCAGTATTAGGACTTAAGCCACTATCACTTGTACCAACTGTCCTAGAAGTAATTAGATTATAATATGTTATATTCCGGACTAGATATGAAACTACTTTATAACCTCATCTACATCAACGAAACACAGTGCTTCGACATTATGCCTCGCCACTTTGGCATATGCCTACAACTATAACCTCGGAACAAGTGAGCATTGGTTCAGGCAAGTTTCCTCAATGTGTAGTCTCGAGGGCATTTTGATTAATCAAAAATTCTAATTTTCACATAAATGTTCCAAAATTAGACTTAAAGGACTATTCTTTTCGTTGTGCAGTATAAATTCTATGTACCACATAAATGATCGTACATAGACTTGGAAGACTATTGTTATTGATCATATGTAATGCTCACAATGGGACAACGTGGAAGCTCAGTGTTCACACACGTGAACTTTCAATTAAGAATAAAGAAAGGGATATCGAAGTGCTCTCATCAAATAGTCAAGGCCTAAATATCGAAGTGCTCTCCTTATATAGTCGAAGTGGTTTTCTCCTTACTGCCGAACCCCTTCATATCCGAAGTCCATAACTCTCATAAGTGGGTCTAATAGGCGTATCTTTAGGATTGATTAATGTGACGTCCTCATTAAATAGAAATCAGGAATGTCAGTCTAGAAGTGTAGAGTAGCTAACCCTTTGTCAAAACGTCTGTCAATGTAATTAATATGTGATAGGATGACACGACGTCAAGACTTAGCAGATGAGGTCACGTGGATTTGATCCAACGGTAATCATGTCTGCCTAATTATTATAAATAGCGGTCTTTTGTAACATTTTAAAGGGATGAATCCTCACACATGTAAATTAATATTGTATTTTTCTCTCTATGTTCACCTTTCATCACACAATCTTTCATTCATAAGTGTATGTCTTATTTACCTACTCGAACATATTTGATCAATAATTGAACATTCATTTAAGCTTACAATCAACGTATGGATGAACATGTCCACATGTGTATCGTTTTG